ATATTTATATATATATATTTTTTTTAAAGGTGCAATAGGTGATTGTCTTCAGAAACATTTTTTGTTATGCAGGTTGAAAGTCTCTTCACATCCTGACAGCAATCATTAATTTAAGTGGTCTGAATGTATATTTATATATTCTGTGGAAGGCGTAGGACCAAGAAATGATCATCTAATCAAAACTTTTAGTCCAAGCATTTTGATTGGCTTTTCTACCTGCCTGTCAACACATGTATTTGCACACCCTGTTCATGCAGACAGGATACGTCATCAGCGCATTCATGTACACTGTGCAGACAGAACGAGAATGGCAGACAAACATCAACAACCTGATCTTCCTTCCTGGTATTGTAGTACTTTTACTAACTGTGCTATAAAGTTTTCTCACTGGTGAATGACACATGATGTATTGTAGTAATGTTGTCTCTGGTATTCTGGTCTGTGAGCGTATATATGTGTTCAGGGGGCGTGCCTTTGGACGGCGATTGCTGGGAGGGTGGGATGTTCGCTTTCAGTGCTATCAGGCTAAAGTTAGCATTTTCCAAGATCTCCTACTGCACCTTTAACAAAGACGTTTAAAAATTACACATTTTAGAGCTGTACCTGCAATAGCGTGATACCATTGTAGGGTATCAGACCGAATCAGACAATCTCAGATTTGGTCAAGAACATGGTTGAAACATGAGGAGCCGAATTCCACAGAGGCCCAAGACACAGGATGTTCGTAAATCAGATCCTGGCGCCACAAGCCAGTCTGAAGCAAGCCTAAACAACCAACTTTCACAGAACAGCTTTCAAAATTAACACAGAGAACACACTGATCATAACATCTCAGGAAGGAGATTGTCCATTTTGGGGCATGTAATCAAGATTAATGGTCAGAGATGCACAGCATGACCATCACATATAAACCAGTGATGACCACAAGCTCTTTGGATTGACTTCCCCACCTCGACGACAAAGAACAGACTGAAATTCCTTATGAGACACCTCTTAACCTCTGGTCTTCACATAACATATCCTTATGTTCAAAGAATGGCACAGAAACTGCCTTTCCATGTAAATATGCATCTAAATAACACTAAAAGGACTTGTGAATCATTTCTATGCAGAACTCCATATTATGTATCTAACCCACACATTAGACCAGGGGTCTGCAACCTTCAACGTCAAAAGAGCCATTTTGGCCCCTTTCCCACTGAATAAAATTCACGTGGAGCCACAACATATTTGATCCCCAAATAAAGATAACAAGGCATATAGCTAAAGTGTTATATTCAGTTATGTTACAGGGCATGGGGAGTAGCAGTCATTTCAGAAGTAAGGGGGACAGAAATGTCAAATGTAGTAATAATAATAATAATAGACCTAATAATATTTATGTATGTCTGTTTGGACTTTCTGTACGAGAGCGCCCTCCGGCTTCGAGTATGAATGAAACATACAGCGCATGAGAGTGTTCAGCGCTCCATGATGTTCACATCGTTTTGGATAAGAATAAGGTATCCAAAACGACGCGACTATGTTGTCTCTTTTAATTTAAATCTAGATTTATTCACATTGGCCCTTGAAAACCTCTACGTGAACACACTTGCCCGAGAAAAAGTGCATGGGAAATAGTTTAGGTTTTATTAAAAGTCGGGGGGACACCTCCCTGACGTATTGTACACCCATGTTACAGGGAGCCACCGCAGATGGATGAAAGAGCCACATGTGGCTCGGGAGCCACGGGTTGCCGACCCCTGCATTAGACTATCAAATTTTAATCATTTATTGTGTATGTATTTTGAATAACTATTGAATAGTTTATAGGATTAAATTCATGTTGGGTATGTCTGTGTTTGAATCTTCTTGCTTGAAACGTTTCTTCCAATCAATTCTTTGTCAAATATATCATATTTTTGTTATAGAAATCATGTCCAAAATTATACTCTGCAAGAGCGGGAAAACTCGGACCATGTGACTGATGAGATAACATTTGATTTATGAATTGGGAGGAGAAATATAGCAACACCCCGAGCTAAGACAGTGTCTAATTGGTCAAAACACCATTTGGGTCCAAAAGCCCAGTTTAAATACTCAGGACACCATCAAATCATCCCTTTTTCCTTCCCTTTTTTTTGACATCCCTTCTCTCTTTTTAGTCATAGCTTTGAACTATGCTTTTTTTTAGCTTTTTGAGCGTGTTCTTGCTTACTCCAAAACCATGAGGAGAAACACCACCTAGTCTCGTCAAACAATCGTCTATAAAATCATAAATGATTCCCTTTGAGCTAAATTGACCTGTTTCCCTTACACCATGAAACTGATATTTTTGTTTAAGGTTATCATACAGTCACAATATCATACCAGCCCATGACTACAAGGTGCATTATAGCTGTATATTTACACGTGAGAATCCTTTGACTCGTTATAACGCCACATGATGCCTAAGGGACCGTCTCACAGTTCAAAATTGCTTTTAAATGTCAAAAATGCCCAAGTAGTAGCCTAATAACATACAAACTTGTAGAAGGTTCCTAGTAATAAAAATGACTTACTAGAGTTGATTTCTTATTTATTATAATTCACCAAAATAATTTTCCATTCAAATGTTTGTAGTACATTGCTAGTGTCCAGACTGACTTAATACAGGTGACATTTTGCCAATACCTCTCATCTTATGAACTCAGTAAAGTGCCATTCTCAACTATTTACCTCAATTACCCGTCTTTAGTACACTACACTACCTTTCCAATTGTTGCAGCTCACATTCAGGAAGTCAGTTTGCATTTACTACAACACTGTAAAATCATTCATTTGAAAGAATGACTGGGCATTGTTTGTGGTTTTTTCACTGGAATTTGCAGACAGTCCCTTAAACAACGCGAATATCTGGAATATAGATCTGAAATATAGAAAGAAAAAATCTCAAAAGAGAAATAACTGTATATAGGTTCGCATTCATTCCCCTCACAGATCACGAGACTAACAGCAACATTATCACTGCAAACATCGAAACAATCATTTACACAAACATACAAAAACACAAAATCGCTCAGTTCTTACTTCACATGTTTTCACATAGACATTTAGAGCAGCAGGCAGTAAGTAGGTCTAAGTCAGAAAACACACAAACAGCTTACTCGATGAAAACAAGACAGAAACGTCCTCGTGTATTGCTGCAAACATACTGTGTAAAGTGTGTTTTACAGATGTTTAAATAAGAGAAATAGCGTGAACTGCTCACCTCTCCTCAGAAGATCGCTGCAGCTGCGTCCGAAAGCTTTGATGACTCTTTGTTCAGGGTTCCTCCTGAAAGTGATTTGTTACTCAGCTCTCACTGAATCCAGGACTGCAGCCGTCGAGCTCAAGAACAAAAAGAGGGCGTTTTCTTCTTCTTCTTCTTGTAGCGTTTATTGGCGGTGGGTAAGCCAAATTTTAGAGGGCGTGTTCACACCAGGATAGGTGTTTTTAACTATCCAATCAGAAAAGCCCTGAGAAGAAGCCAAGTGTTATTATTTTATTTTTACTTTCTGAAGTTACCAGCTATTTTGTTATGTCTATGATCACGAGAAAACAACTTATGTCAAGTTTATGATAAATCAAGAGGAAAAAATAATGCTGCTTCTCAATTTCCAGATTTCTGTCTGTATGACACGTGACCACCTTCTTGACATAATTGATGTTCATCATATGATTGCATGACCTCTTGTTGTTAATTATCTGTAGTTCTTTGTTGTCAACACTTGTTTGTCTGATTGTCTGGTGTATTTTGTTTGCCAGTTCCTTGTATTATTTTGTAAAGCATCCTTGGGTTCTTGAAAATGCGCTATACAAAAAAACAGATTAAAATTAAAATGGATTAAAATGGGAATTCATTATGATTTAACACTATTTGCTTAAGACTTGAGACTTACTTGTGACTTGCACATGCGTGACTTACTCCCACCTCTGGTTAATATTGATGAGCCTCAGACGATCAACACTTATCCAACAAGATATTCAGGATCATCAGCAGATCATCTCTCTTTATTCTCAGGGTTTGCTGATAGAAACACATTATTTGAGTCAGGATATAAAAACCTACAAGTGCTCGAATGTTATTTCTCACAATGTGACATGGATGAAACATCAATAATACAAAATAGCTAACACTCAGGTAAGTACCTATCAACAACACCATAGCCTAACACGTCCATATGAATCTTGGTTTTCTACTAACTACAAATTACAGAAAAGTAATTAGATAATTAACATTTTACAGTTTTTCGTGTAGGCTACAGAAACTGACAATGATCATAAAACTTTACAAAATAAAGAGCACCAGCAATAACGTTTTCTTGTGTCAGACTTCATTATTCACATTTATGAATAGATTTTAAATTTCCCTCATTAGGCTCATTACAGAGACAACGTGTTTAGAAGTTATATTTATTCCAATTTTAACAAGTAAGCATAATCTGCCCGTGATTTGGTGCTACGCCCCTGTTTGTGCAAATATAATGTAGCTACAATAAAGAAAGTTAAACGAAAAATAGAAGTATAAAAAAATAAATGTAAAATCGCAGGCGAATGAAAATCCGCGTAGCGTCCAGCCAGATCTTTATTCAAACACTCAGCGACAAAAAAAAAAAAAAACAGCCAAAAATAACCTGTAGCAGAGTCTTCTGAGGAGAGATATTAATGGAGTGTTGGGAACATAACTCAAATAATACATGTCGGATTATCAGATGATCAGATCCGGTTTATCTGTCAGCAAAACTGCTGCATGATGCAAAACACAGCATTTCGTCATTTTGATGATGCAAAAAGTGTTTTTGTCATTTTGTAAAAACTTGTCATTTCATTTTGCGTCATCCTGCGGAGTGTTGCTTACAAATAAAAGATATCTGTAATGATATATAGATACACACAACTCAGAGAAAGAGTAAATATTGATTATTTACTGATATTAGAGACGTTGAAATAATACAAAGTGGGTTGAAAATTGTCAAACTTACACATAAAGGCAATATAAGGATAATATTTGTCAGTGTTGTATGTTCATGTACAGTTGCCGTCCTCTGAAGTCTTCTTGAGTGTTGGCATCTTCTGAAGTCTTCACAAGTGCGGCTGGAACTGGCGTAACCTCTAGTAACCTTGAGATGGGCATCCCGAGATAGAAACAGGAAAACAAAAGGAGAAAGATTAGCATAGCTGCTGTTCATATTATTTCAGACAAAAGACGACTTATTTCATCACATAAAACTGTAGTGCAAGGTTATGAGATGTGTTATGTGAATACTTGGCTAAAAATATGTATTTTTTTAATAGTTTTATTTTCAGATATAATATGTGAAACAAAACATATATTGCATACACAACATTACAAGCATTAGTTTTCTTTTACAAAAGCAAAATTATATAGATAAAGAGATAAGGAAATAAAGAAAAAGGAGAAAAAACATGCACCTCAGGAATCATCTATTTAGCTACAATAATTATTAATATAAAATCTAAAAAATATTTTATTTCCTTGCAACTAATTTGCAGTAAGAGAAGGTAAATACTCCAGAAATGAGCCCCAAATTTTTTTGAATGGTTTTGGTGATTTCCTAACCCTCCTGATTCCTAATTCCTAGAGGATTTTCTCAGGGGTGCAGTATGAAATGAGCTCGTTGATCCAATGCTTTCAAGACGGAGAATGAGTCGACTTCCAGTTCACTTTTCCCAGCCGTACCAGCTAAAAGTGTGAAGTACTTTTTATGATGAGACAAATCTAATAATTCAGAATCCCCTAATATCCAAATTCTAGGATCATAACAGATTGGGATTCCTATAACCTTTGAAGATATATCAATGATATATTTTCAAAAATCATTCAATACAGGAAAATTCCAAAGCATATGAAGTAAATTGCCTTCAGATGTTTTGCACCTTTGACATTTTGAAAGAATATCAGTATTTAAC